CCCCCAAAACCCCAAAACCCCAAAACCCCAGTTTGAAAAGTTTCTATTGAAGCATTTGTCTAATTAAATAATTAATCTACTTTAAATATGGGAAATAAATTGCTCAAATCTTGTTGTACAGCGACTCAGAATGGTGTCCAGAAGCATGGTACCACCCTGACAACTGTCTCGTCTGAGCTTCAGAAGATGAGAAGAGATCTTACTGATGATTTCACTAATAGCCTCCTGAAGAATTGTGTTCCCAGAGATTCTCAAGGGAAAAATAGTATTAACCTAAAATCTACAAGGAAATTGTCAGATGAATGTGGTGCGATGTTAAACCTCCCTGAAGATAATATCAGTCAGCACTACAAGCTCTTAGACCCCATCGGCAGTGGGAAGTATGGAAAGGTCTACCTCGGTCAGTCAATCCATGACAAACAGAAGCAGACTGCTATAAAAGTTATAAAAATCAGAAAGATCAAATCAAATTTTGAATCTGTCATGAAAGAAATTCAAATGATGAAGTCTATCGATCACCCTGATATTGTCAAAGTTTTGGAAATCTATAGAGACTCGAAGAAGATTTACCTTGTAATGGAACTAGTCCAAGGAGAGGAGCTCTTCGATTATATTCTTCGCAAGGAGAAACTCCGTGAATGGGAGACACGGAAAATTATCCGCCAGTTAGTACAAATCGTGAAGTACTTGAACTCTGTTAAAATTGCTCACAGAGATTTGAAGCCAGAAAATATTATGATCAATTCGAAAAGTCTTAAAATAAAGCTACTTGATTTCGGTCTGTCTTCTTATTTTGAAGAATCAAAGAAATTGGTGAGCCCGGTTGGAACTCCTTACTATGTGGCCCCAGAAGTCCTTCGAGGCAGCTATGGAAAGGAATGAGATATGTGGAGCATTGGGATTATTACATTCATATGTCTCACAGGAGCTCCTCCCTTCCAAGGTGATAGTTTAGTGGATATTTACCAAGATATATTGAAATTTAATCTAGTTTTTAATGACACCGAATGGTCCCAAGTGTCAGGATGAGCTATTAGCTTCGTCAGGAAACTTCTCGAGCCTAAAATATGCAATAGATTATGCCCAGAGAGAGCTCTTCGTCATTCATGGCTCTGAGAGGAAGAATCTACATTCTCTGAATCTAGAAAATCCAGGAATCCAGACCCTTTTGAGAAAGTAGACTACGACCAATACAAGTTTCAGACCTTTGAAGTGCTAAGAAAGTTGGTCCAGAGGAATATTCTAAAGGAGTGCTCAAAATGAGCGAATATTTTGGTAGATCCTAGCACAATGGAATCTCTCAGCTCTTCTAGGCGGCGGCCTTCTCCTAACTGAATCTGATGCCGACTGTTGGATAAAATAAGCCCAATGATTGAATTATTTGTTGACGCAAATATCGAATTTAACGAATTCCTAAGCCAAGTTACTAAAGATTTCGACGATATCCAACCTGACGTAATCGGTGCTATTCTCTTTGAAATTGAAGGAGACAAGGAAAATTATTGAAGTAGTATGAACATTAGCTCATCTAATTCAAAAGATCATATATCGTTTGAGATGAGGAGTGTTAATAATTATGACGAAGAAATATCTGCCCAAGATTGCCACAAAAATGTTACTCTCAAATCTAATATCCAGAATGATAAATCAGCCTTAACTTTAGGAACCGCTGTTCCTAGCGGAAAGGGTACGACCAAGAGCTCTGCTAAGGATAAAAGAGCATTGGTCTTTGCCACATTTTCTCAGTCTAAGGGGAAGGAACTCTGTGGGCTTGTCAAGCAAGCAACTCTCAGTCATATCAGTTGAGAAAAGACAATTTCTTGTATGGAAGGGAAGGACAGCTTTATTAATTCCTATTAACTCTAATTCCGATAAATTTATTTAATATTTTTGACTTTTAGCCTAAATTCGAGCTTCACAGTTTCATAGAGTAAAAATTCTGCTGCATTTTATTATTAATGTTGGTAGCTTTTTGGAAGGAATATGCTAAAAAATCGGATATCTTTGCAAAGTAGGAAGTGAATAATAAGTTTCGATATTTAAGCTAAATTGGTCCAGAAGGGGTTTTGGGGTTTTGGGGTTTTGGGGTTTTGGGG